GTTTGTGTATTGTGAAATCAATTTAGTGGATTTTGAAGAGTGCCATGGGAAAAGATAGAAAACAGAGTATGTTGCACATAGTAAGGGCAAGTATTATTTTATAAAAATTTTAATATAGTTTTATATGGGTAGATACATGGTCACAATGTAAAATGTATTTCTTACTGCAGGTGACAGTCCAGAAGAGATGATAAAACTCTGATTGAAGAGAAGCTGTTGTGAACTCATTATAAAACTCTGGGGCCTGTTAATCAAACCCATTACAGGAATCTACTTTTCTTGAAACACAGATCACCCAGTGATATGGTCAGGGTTCAGGAGCCATTTCTCCTGCATGTGCCACGGAATAAATGTGCCTGGAGCATAATAATATTAACGATGGACTGGCACTTACGGAGTGGCACCATGTCCTAAGTGCTCCACACGTATTCTTTCTTCACAAGCCCCCATGCAGGAGGTACTATTGTTATGCTTATTTTACAGATGGGGACACTGGGCACAAAAGCCAACACCTTCCCAGGTCTGTGCATCTAGAAAGGGCAGAAAACAGCCTGGAATTCAGCATGATCCCTTCATGTTCAGCTTATTTCACACTGATTCCTGCTAAGACTGTAAGCTTTTTGAAGGCAAAATCTGTCTCATTCCACCTGACATATGCTTGTTTATTGTTCGGTATTCGTGTTATCTCTTGTTACATAACAACTACCCACACTTAATGGCATTAAACAATCATATTTTATTATGCTCATGGATTCCCTGGGTCAGGAATTTGCATGGGATACAGAGCGGATGACTAATCTCTTTTCTACAATACTGCGGTCACAGCTAGAAAGATTCAAACAGCTGGAGGTAACTTGAAGACAGACATTGGAATCATCACATGTATTCTTACATCTGGGGCCTGGGCTGAGATGCCTCAAAGGCTGAGACTGTTGGCCTGAGCACCTCTCTACGACCTCTCCCTGTGGCTTAGACCTCTCCCAGGCTGAGTTCTGAGTGGGTGTCTCCCAGGAGGGAATATTGGAAGGTAAGCATTCCAAGTGAGCCACAGGGTACATGCCTGTTATGATCTAGTCCCAGGAGACCACTTATCAGCTCTTCTAGTATTCCCGATCGGCAAGCTCATCCAGGGGTCCACAGGGAGGGGACATGGACCCCTGATGATTTAGAACCATCCCATATGACATTCTCAACTTTTTTTTAGTTTCCAACTAGGATATGAAAGTTTCCTTGTAGAGACAACTGGATTTCCTCTGATGTGGAAGCGTGACTGGCTCAAATTCCTTGTGATGCATAGGGCGCTCTGTGGTTAATAATCTACTGTTCATTAGAATGATCTGTCGTCTCTATAATAGTAAATGGGCTGGAACCACAGATATATTTACTGCCTTAATTTAGTTGCTAGCATTAGGCTTATTTTAAAGTATTTTCTCTCCATTTGGACTAAATGTCTTTTATCTAAGCTTATCTTCAATGTCAATAAGCTTAGCATTCCTCAACAGCTGGAAGCCCAGATATTATACATCTCCCCTTCCATTAATCTTCCGTAAGTTGATCTTTATAGTCATCTAATCCATTCATCACCACAAGCTGTCCTTTCCACACTTGTATAGTCTTCCATTTAGCTAAACCAAACTCTATTTCTTTATCAAGACTGAAGTTCTTTGTCATTTTCATAGTTTATAGAGTTCTCTCTTAGAGCTGGTTTGAAGTGTCAGATTGTCCACAAAGAACAAATGGGTCCTCATAATGTTCTTCACTGTGTTTCATCTGAACACACTACCAGACATTTTTGGTAAAAATTATTTCCCGAAAGAATCAGAAGGTCTGAGTATCCCCCAAATATTTCATTCTGCAAGAAGACCTACAATTTGAGAGTCCTCCCATGAGCAGAACCAGACACCACATATTTCACTTGTTCATCTCATTCCACAACAGCGTTAGACTCAATTTTACATTATGGCTACATTATGTCTAATTGATACAAAGCATACCAAAAGGTTTCTTTAAAGATCACCATAATCCATATTACAAGAGAGGGAAGGAAAAGAGAGTTGCAAGTGAGGGAATGAAAATGGTAGAAACGTACAAGGAAAAGGGAAAGGTTTATTCTTTTCAGAACAAGGTCACTGAAATTCAGGACCATGCCAGGGCAAGTAACTGTGCTTCCCCTTTTGGGGATGAGAATATACAGCAACCAGGAGGTGAAGATACAAAATCAGAGACTCATCATCGTGGCCCTTGAATGTGCCTTACAGAGGCAGGTCTCTTCCTCCCCAGGCCCTGCCCACCCCAGGGAAGTGCTGGCAGGTGAGCAGGTTTGAGTCACCTGGGCTAGTTGCTGGGCTGGCTACAGAACATGGAAATCCTGGCCTGGGCCACACTCCTTGGGAGGACAGCCTATTATTTGTGTGTATGTTATATGAAGTATTGTTTGTACCAGTACCAGGTCGGGCAATGGACAGGATGTTATGGGGAACACTGAGACTTGATAACAGTTCCAGCTCTCAGTACGTGCAGTCTAGAGAGGCTGATACAATGCACACAGCAACCAACAGCTCTCATCACAACCAACAGCTCTAATCACAAATGCAGCGCAGGCCCAAGGACTCATACTGAAGAGACCTTCCTCTGCCTGAGGTTGCCAGGGACAGATTCATAAGAAGAGGTAAGGCGTGGGGAGGCAGGAGAGGGAACATTGTGTTCCATTAACTGAGACCAGTTCGACTGGGGTGAGGGGACAGAGAATGAGCCCTTTCCTTCAGCTCATAATCAAGGATTATTTCCTGGATTCATGGTAGTAGGGAAACCCACGGTGTCCAGGAATCCCACTGAGGCCGGCAGTAGGCATCCTCACCCACTCTCTGGCCTTTGGCGAGGAGAGAAGAGCCATTTTCTCTTCTGCACATTCTGCTTCTACTGCAGCAGAAAGCAGGCATGGGCCCTGTTTGTTTGCTTAAAGCAAGGCTGTGTGACTCCTTTGGGGCAGTCATCCCTCTGGGCTTCAGTCACTGTGGTCTCCCATGTAGGGGGTGCCAGCAGCGTGAATGCTCCAAGCACCTTGCCAGCCGTTTTGTGCCAGGCACTGTACACATATAAATGCCCCTGGCAGCCCCAACATACAGGTTCGATCTACAACCCCAATTTTTCCTGATGGGGTAACTGAGGCACACAGATGCCAAGTAATTCAGCCGAGGTCACACGGCTAGCAAGAGGTTTGGGATTGAAAGCCAGGTGGTCTGAATCCAGAGCCTGCCTCTTGGCCACTCTGCCCTGCCACCTCTTAACGCTGCCCTTCAAGCCACCCACCGACAGCCAGCCTCGGCTCTGCCACTAGGGGAGTTCAGGGAAGCTGACTGTCCAGGTGCCCTTGCCACAGCCTGAGCCGAGCCCCTTCATCCTCCTCAGATGCTCTTCTAAGGTAGAGCCGAGCATCCATTTCCATCTCACACCTGCACAGGTCTTAAATATAGCATAAAACTGGCACGCTAACTTCCCTCTCTTGCTGTGCTCGGGCCTCAGGACACAGGGAAACCAGTGGCGAAGGCAGCTGTCCTGCTGGGAGCCAGACCCTGCAGAGCCTTCAAGAGCCCACCCATGGGACTCCAAGGGGCTGCAGGTTACACTTCAACCCACCTCTGTAGTTTGTAACCTGCACTAGGGTTCAGACAGTTTGTGTGAATTGAATGGAAACCCTTATAATTCACATCAAAGTTCTGTGCATGCATTTTTCTGGAAGGATAGGCTTCAGTCAAAAATTTCAAGACGGCAGGGACAGGGTAATGAGTGTTTGGCCCTTGACGGATCACGTTCTCTAGTTCGTGGTCCCTCGGTGACTGCAGGCCAGCCACAGGTTTGCAGGACTCTTGTCCACCAGCAGCTTTGGACAAAACTCCAGCCCAACCAAAGCCGAAGGGCACAGTCAAAGTGCTAAACACAGACCTGAAAGATAACTGTTCAGTGAATAACTATCAGCTGTTTAGTGATAGTCGGAGGGCATTGGGAATTATTGTTAATTTTGTAAGGTGGCATAATAATATTGTAATTATGTTTTTAAAAAGTCCTTAGCCTCTTCTATGGGGAAGGGAAGAAGTAGATAAAAGAATGGAAAATGCTGACAATCTTGGAAGCCGAGCACTTGTGGGTTCATGATACTATTCTACTTTAACATTTTTAAATTTCACAATAAAAAGTTTTTTAAATAAAAATGAATCAAAGCTACTCTTTATACCAAGATGCAAATGTCTGAGTCAAGCAAATGACTGAGAATCTTACTTCTCCCAGAAAGGAAGCCTAGGAGTCTCCTGGCAGGCCCAGGCAGGACTGCACCTGCTTGTCCCACTCCCAGCCTGGACCCATCCCCACGGCTGCTGGGCATCCAGCCCAGGACAGAACAGGTAGCATCTGGGTCCTCCTCTTAAAGGACTCAGATCCGGCATTCTCCTCTCAGCCTGCCCCTCAGTATCCCTGCGTCCTCGGGCATTTCAACTCTCAGGTCTCAGTTTTGCTGTTCATAAAATGGTTGGACCATCCAGAGGCGAGGTGTGCGGGCGGATGGAAGGAGGAAGGTGAAGGTGCTTCCCAGAGGTGACCAGGTAAGGCCGGGAATCGAGCATTTTCATAAGATTGCTGGCGGACGCGGGGGTGGGTGGAGAGCATCACGATTAAGAAGGAACACACACACACACGCACACACACACCTCCTTCCTCCTTCCCCTCCTCTTCCTCTCACCCCACCCCCCGGGGGGCGGTACCCTAGTCTCCCGGGGGAGGTTTTGGGGCGGAGGACCGGGGAGGACTGCGCCCAGGAGGGTGGCCGGCCACAGGAGGAGGGCTTGGGTTCGAGCTGCTGCAGCTGGGTGGCCGGCGCCGCGGCGGCCCCTCCCCCGCTCTCCCTGGCAGCCGCCCCCTCCTCCTCCCGTCCTCCTCCTCCTCTTCCTCCTCCCTGTCCCCCATCCTCCTCCCGGCCCCCGGCAGCTGCGGCTCAGGGAGCAGCCGGCGGCGGCGCCGCGGCCGCGCAGCCTTTGTCTCGGGCCGCCCGGCGCGCGGGGCCCAGCGCAGGCGTAAGTGACCGGTGGCCCGGCCTCTAGGGGCTGGGCGGGGAGCGGGCTGGGGGTCGCAGGCGCTTCCTGCAGTGGGGGACGAGGGGGGGCCGGGCCGGCCAGATCCTCCAGCCGCTGGTGTCCCGGGATGCTCGGGCGGTGCCGGCGCACCGGGGCGCGAGGAGAGCCCAGCGGGGCCACAGCCGAGGAGGGCACCGGGCGCAGAGAGGGGCGCGGGGCCCAGAGAGGGGCGCGGGGCCCGCCGGGCCGCGGGGCCGGGGGAGGGGGTGCGGGCTCGCGGGGCGCCGCAGCTTGGCGCCCACAGACGTGCGGCTTGGGTGCAAATCCTGTTTCTCTGGGCAGAGGCCACGCGGGGACGGAGGAGGCAGAGAGGACGGGCAGTGATGGAGAAACGGGAGAGGAGCCGGCCAAGCGCCACCGTCACCACCATCACCAACCACCACTACCATCACCATCACTGACTGTCGCCCATCCCAGCTCCCCTGCCTCACCTCCCATCTCATATCCCTGTGCAGTGCCAACTTTATCAGATCATCTCCTTTTCACTGGGTGCTACTTTGGAAAAGCGACAGAGTGCGCCAAGTCAGGAATAAGTACATCCGCTGTGGGACGTTTATCTTCCCCTTTCCATGTAGCTACCTCAATTTTCCCGTCAGGAAAGGGGGCACAGTGGCATTTCCTTCCTCTCAATCACACTGAGATGGCTGGGTAGCCTCCAGTTTTTCCAGTCCTGGTACTGGGCGGTTTTATATGCTTGGTGATGATGATGATAAAGTAATGTCTTCATTAAATTGGACAGTTGGGAGTTTTCAAACTTACTCTTCTTTGACTTCTGAGTGTGGGTATACCAGTAGCAAACAGAAACATAAGGAAAGTGAAACTTTGATTGACATCATACCAAGAATAGATGCAAAACAGGCACTTTTGTAGGGACATCACCCAAGAGAGCTGCAGGTAATGGTTTTCATTTGCAGTGTAGAAAGCACCCCGTCAGTGCCAAGTGGCTGTGGGGAGCTCCTCAGTCTGGATGCACAGTTTTTTCCATGGGGTTTTCACCCTACCTACAGAATGCTTTAATTGCTGTTTTTCAAAATTGGCTTTCACGAGGCCCCAGGCACGGCTGAGTAGTCAGAACAAACACAGCGACAGAGCCCCGGGACTGTTGGGAAGCCCAGCACCAGAGGGCATGAACCTTCTTAGGAGAAGTAAAACTTACAAAAAACAAGCTCTTAAACCCCCCGCCTTTTCCCCTATTGGTTAGAAAGTGAATCTTGAACTTCTGTGTTTTGTGTTCTAGTCTAATAAAAGACAGCTAGAAAAGCCTACGTTTCTTGACAAGCTGGGAAAATCTTCTTTCCGAGAAGTCATGTAGCAGGGCTTTTTTTTTTTTTTTTTTTTTTTTTTTGACTGAGTCTCACTCTGCCTCTCAGGTTGGAGTGCAGTGGCGTGATCTCAGCTCACTGCAACCTCCGCCTCTCGGGTTCAAGTGATTCTCCTGCCTCAGCCTCCAGAGTAGCTGGGATTACAGATGTGGGCCACTATGCCTGGCTAATTTTTGTATTTTTAGTAGAGACGGAGTTTTACCACGTTGGCCAGGCTGGTCTGGAACTCCTGACCTCAGGGGATTCACCCGCCTCCGCCTCCCGAAGTGTTGGGATTATAGGCGTGAGCCGCCATGCCCAGTCAGGGCTCCTTTTTAATAGGGCTATGGAGTCCGCTACCTGGTGTTTTTGTTTTTTGTTTTTTGTTTTTTTTTTTTTTTGCCGTGTCCTGTTTTTACAATTCAAGAAGGAAAGTGATCATATTAAAAATACTGTGAACCCAGCTGAGCTGCATTTGTCATTACCATAGTTTAAGATTTCTCAAATGTCGAGGTATAATTACATGTCATTAACTCAAACCTCTCTAATTTGTGAAGCAGGGTTTTAAATAGGGTATGTAATTCTGTGGAGAATGACTCTGAAACCATTCTGAGGACCTGAAATGTAAGTAAGGCATAGTCAGTCTAAAACAATGACATTTTCAGAACAAAGACTTAAAGAATTACTTTGCTATGTTTTTAATTCTGGATCTTTAGGAAATAATTAGCATCTCAAGGAAGCTTCATGCCAACGATAGTGTCTTCTTAGTCTTTTGGGTCTGCTATCACAAAATGCCTTAGACTGGGTGATTCCGAGCAAGAGAAAAGTATTGCTCACAGTTCTTGAGTCTGGCAAGTCGTGGATCCAGGTGCTGTGGATTCAGTGTCTGGGGAGGGCTAGCTGTCTGCTTCATAGATGGCACCTTCTATGTGTCCTCACATGGTACATGGGGCACACAGGCTCCCTTGGGCCTCTTTTGTAAGGGCGCTAATCCCATTCATGACATCGGGCGTTCGGAAGCTTATCTCCTAAAGTCTCACCTCTTGATACTGTTGCATTGGGGATTAGGTTTCAACATATGAGTCTGTGGGGACACCAATATTCAGACTGCGGCAGGCTGGCGTTGAGTTCCAATGTTACATCCAACACACATTGTTTTAGCCCATACAAATTGTTATAGCCTATACTAATTCTATGTTAATTTAAAACAATTCATTTGCTTTTGTTGAGATACGATATTTACATACATAAAATGCACAGCTCTTCAGTGGACAGCTTGATGAATTTTTGCCTATGTGTCCCCTGGTATAACCTCTACCAGCAGTAAGATACAGACTATTTCCACAGGCCTAGGGGATCCCCTGGTGCCCTTTCTAGTCGGTACCCCCTCAACAGAGCCACTATCCCCTCAATGGAGCCACTACCAGACTTCTATCAACATAGAAAAATAGTTTCTTTTAAAATAATTTCTAAGTAATTTTTTACATTTCATTCCATTAAATGCAATTGGCCTGTTCCTTAAATGCATTTGGCCTATTCCATTTATGACCAAATCCGGGGGCCCTGAGCCCAGTGCTGTGTAGACATGAGACTGTGTAGACATGAGACATGGTATTATTAGCACATAAGGCAAAAAATTCAACAAGCAGAAACAATACCTTGTGTGCAGAATAGAGGGTTAGGGGAACCCACGAGAGTCTCGGTCGAACCCAGTTTTGTTTTGTTTGTGGGGGAAAGGGAAGGCTTTTTGGAGGAAGTGAATTTTAAGTTGAAAATGGAAAATGGAGTAGAAGTGATCCAGCTAAAACGTGGTAGGGAGAAAACGAAAGCCTATTCTAGGTGGAAGGAACATCTTAAATTCCAGCCTCAGAAATAAGAAAGCATGGAGTGTTCGAAGAACAAAGCTAAGTTGAAAATGGTTGGAGTATAGGGCTGTGGGAGAAAAGTGGGAAATAATGCTGGAAAGGCCGTAGGGACCCTTTCAGATTGACACAAAGACCCTGCTGAGGGGTGGGGCTTGGCTGTAAGAGCTAGGAGAGCTCTAGGACAGGCTTGCGTGGTGGGCATGGCAGGAGGAGACTTGAGGACTCAGCCGGCGGCTGTGGGGTTGGGAGATTACAGGAGGCGTGGGTGAGGGGCCAAGTGGGCATTCGGGTGAGAGACAGTGGTGACCTGGACTGGGCAGGGGCAACAGGAATGGGGAGAAATGAATGAAACTGCAAGAATTATGGGGTAAAATGAACACAAGTTGATGTTCGCCAGATGAGAATTCAAGGATAGCCCTTCGGTTTCTTGGGTCTTACAAAATGGATGGTTAATGGTACTCTTGGAAAGACGGGAGAAGAATCTTGTATATATAATATCCTCCTTTGGTATGTTTCTTTCTGTGTGGACTTAGTTTCGGTTGCAAGTTAGTGTGTGATGCATTCAGGTAGAAATACCTACTGGGGAGTTGTAACTCATACCGACTGAGCACACTCCATATGCCAGGCATGCTCTGTCACTTGGGATGCAGTCATGAACAAGACGATGAAAACTCTGCCTTTGTGAAACACAGGTGGGAGCTGCAGCCTGGAGACCCACAAGGTTTAAGTGGTGACAGAAAGCTTCAGAGTGAATGAGCTGGCTCAGTCAGATTTCAGTGAAAGAGCAGCAGCTCAGGATAAAATCCCAAGAATGCTAAGAGGCTAAAAAGGAACAGAGGAGAGATGGCAAGGAAAGCAAGAGAAGCTGGGCTTCACAGGTCTAGGGAGTGATCCCTAGTGTCATACAACAACTGTGAAGTTAAGGGAGATGAGGGCTGGAGATGGTCTATTGCAGCGTTTCTCAAAGTGGGGTCCCCAGACCAGCAGCAGCAGCACCAAGAGCTTGCTGCAATCGCAGATTCTTGAGATCTACTCCAGACCTGGTGACTTGGGAGCTCTGAGGGAAGGGCCTAGCAATCTATGTTTTAACAGAGTTTTCCAGTGATCCTGATGCGTGCTAAGGTTTGAGCACCACAGCTCTATTGTGTTAATTGATATAAGTCATTGGTGATGCAGAAACTTGGTGAAAGTAACTTCATAAAATTTACACTCTGTTTGGGCAAATTTTAAAAATGTTTCATGGGACTGTTACCATTTTATTCTATTTGTTTATAAATTTCAAATGTTTTATTTTCTTTTGCAATAAAAATGTTTTTATTTTCTTTTGCACAGTTTGGGGTCTTTTTCCCTCTTTGATTACTCATTGATAGTTGATCCATATGTTTTTCCCATCTGTTCTGATTTGTGAAATTTTGTTCCTGTCTCCTTTGAAACACATCACTTTACAGGGTCTCAACATGTTAGGGCACCTGCATCATTGATATTGGTTCACTGCCCAAAACAGAGTGCAATCATGAAGATAAGTGAGTCTCAACTCTGAATGGCAGCCTGAGAAAACACCTAGATGGTTAATTTAGCTCTTCCAAAAAGTTCCAAGACCCTATTAAGGATATATTTCTAATTATTGGAACTTGTTACTCATGAGAAGTAATTGGAAGTGTGCCCTTTTCATCTCAAGTGATCCAACAACATAACCATAATTATTGTACTTCTAATGCACTTATAAAGGAAAGAACTCTTACTAACTAGGTATTTTCCTGGTCCTTTTGTTGCCATCCTCCCAGGTACTTTATTGCATTTGACAGGAAGAATTAGAGCACAATATTTTGTTTTGCTGTCATCAGGGAAAACCTATGGTAAATGAGAAGAAACTGATGCAGATACTACTCTTGTAGCTATCCCTGTTTACTGAAAACATTGCCTTTTATAAAAACAAAAACTGGTAAGTAGTTCCTGTACTCTGTATAGTAACAAGCACAAAGAAGGACCACAAATGTTGAGTGAATGGATGGATGGGTGGGTGGATAGATGAATGAATCAGTGGGTGGATAGGAAGATAAATGGATAGATATAGATACACACATAGAGAGCAGACAAAAGAATGGATATGTGGATGGATGGGTGGGTGGATAGATCAATAAATGGATGGATGGATGGATGGATGGATGGATGGATGGATGCAAGGATGGATGCATGGATGGATGCATGGATGGACAGATGAGTAGATGGATGAATCAGTGGATATATGGACGGGGTAGATGGATGGGTAAATAAATAGGGAGGTGGAAGAGTGAATGGATAAAAGATAGTGTAAGAGACTTTTACCTAAAGAGGCAAAAACAGTCTTTTAAAAAAATATTACTTCACCTGAGGAAGGTACAGTACAATGAGCTGAACTGAGCTGAAGACTTGGATGGCTTAGTGACGTTGTCTCTTATTTCTAATGTGGTCTTGTTCAAATTCTCTAACATCTCTGTGTTCCTTATGTGAAAGGATAGTATCACCTACCCCACCTGCTGCCAGGTTTGTGGTCAGGACCAAATTGAATAATGGCCATGAATGTGTTGTAAAAATTGTAAAGTGCTATA